TTGTGGAGGGTAAGCACCAGGTTGTGGAGGGTATCCGCCTCCCTGAGGGGGGTATCCAGGGTAGCTCATGGCTTTAAACATAAAACAGGACTGTCAATCAAAGAGCTGCCAAATGGGAACTATTGCTAATATATCATCTTGTGCACCCACCTACATAAAATGTACTTTACTTTGTGAAAAGACAAGGAAAGAGCACTACCTGTTAACGGCACTGTTTATTATAATGAATGAACTGACAAAGGAACAAGGAAGTTGAAAACACAACCAGCTGTAAACGTTCCCCTGCTCATATTTACCACTGGGCAAAATTCTTCACTGACTAAGACATAAACAATCTGACTTTTCTAGAACTGGTGCATTTTATGATGTATTTCTTATTACAATAAATATATAGTTAGTTGTTATATTGAGCATAGACTAGCCTGCCTTGTCACTAGTCTGCCAGTTCCTTGATTAGTATAGTGCTTTATATGCACCTAAAGGCAACTTCAGGCCTATGAAATTGATTCTCCCGCTATCAGTTATTTTCCTAATGTGAGTTGAGTGTTTAATCTATCCTCCACAGCCTTTGCTTTTGAATGTAGCAATGCAACTGTCACTGCAATTTGATGAAGAGCAAACCCTTCCTTCCAGGGCTGTTGGGTCATAGGGATTTTAGCTGGGTGGTGGGATGGTGAGGAAACTTTAATTTTGGTTAAGCTTTGTATGAAATGCCTATGTTCCACAAGGCCTTCTTGTTCCATGGTACAACTGACTTCACTGCTTTGCATTTTATGGACAGAGGAGAAAAAAAGGACATTGCTATGTTTGAATAAGTACACAGGGCAGGGAAGTTTCCCTATAAAGCAATAGACTTTTTCACAGCAGCCATTTATACATGAAATAGTACAATAAACACAGGTATCCCCAATAATACAGATGAGTCTGTTTGACTTTTGGAACAGAAGCTTAATTAGTATCACTAGTAACATCTGTGTCCACCTTTCTACGTCATGTCAAAATGGCTACTGTGAAAAAGTCTATTACTTCACAGGGTCTATTTATATTTTAAGATATTTTCAGGTTTTTGTAGACAAAAGTTATCCATAGTCACATTTACTCAGGGTCTACGTGTAAATACATGTAACCTCTTACACTTCCTCCTCATCCCCTGCTGCCTTTGCGGTAGCAGCTCCAAAGCTTTGAAATAAGCTTCCACTTTCATTAAAACGCTCTCTTGTCAACTTTAAGACAAAACTCAAGACGTAAATGTTTTCAATGGCTTTTGATTGCTTTTAATGGGTTTTAGTTTTTTATTTTATATTGTCTTGTTCTGTCTCTGTTTTTTACAGATGTGCCATGCAGTTTCATTTGTACAGCACTTTGCTTGTGCACCCACCTAGATTAAATGTACTTTACTTGGTGAAGGACAAGCGCTACCTGTTAATGGCACTGTTAATTATACTGAATGAACTGACGTAGGAACAAGGAAGTTGAAAACACAACCAGCTGTAAACGTTCCCCTCCTTATATTTCCCACTGGGCAAAATTCTTCACTGACTAAGACATAAACAATCTTCCTTATCCAGAACTGGTGCATTTTGTAATGTATGCATTGTATGATGTATTTCATCTGCGGCTCAGAGGCAGAGCGGGTCGTCCACTAATCGGAAGGTTGTTGGTTCGATCCCTGGCTCCTCCCGCCACATGTCGAAGTGTCCTCGAGCAAGATACTGAACCCCAAATTGCTCCTGAGGCTGTGCATTGGTGTGTGAATGTGTATGAATGAGTTAGTTTCTGTTCAATGGGCTTTAGTTCACTCGCTTAGTGAATGTGTGTGAAAGGGCGAATGTGGCATGTAGTGTAAAAGCGCTTTGAGTGGTCGGAAGACTAGAAATGCGCTATACAAGTACAGTTCCATTTACCGTTACAATAAATATGTAGCTGTAGTTGTCATATCGAGCATACACTAGCCTGCCTTGTCACTAGAACCTGCCAGTTCCTTGATTAGTATATAGATGACTCTATTTACCTTTTAAACAGAAACTTACATCATGTCAAAATGGCTACTGTCAAAAAGTCTACTGTTTCACAGGGTCGCTTCCCTGTGTAAGGTTTATTTATATTCTAAGCTACTTTCAGGTTTTGTAGACAAAAGTTATCCGTAGTCACATTTACTCAGGGTCTAAGTGTAAATACATGTAACCTCTCACACTTCCTCCTCATCCCCTGCTGCCTTTGCAGTAGCAGCTCCAAAGCTTTGAAATAAGCTTCCACTTTTATTAAAACGCTGTCCCTCCCTCGTTGATTTTAAGACAAAACTCAAGACGTACATGTTTTCTGTGGCTTTTGATTGTTCTTAGTGGGTTTTAGTTTTTAATTCCTTTTCGTTCTTACCTGTCTTGTTCTGTCAGTGTTTACTGATGTGCCATGCACTTTAATTTGTACAGCACTTTGCTGTCAACTCTGGTTGTTTTAAATGTGCTATATGAATAAACTTGATTTAATTTGCTTTGCTTATGTCAAGTGCCCATTCAACAACCCTTAAAACACGGTCATTTAGTCAGAACAAATGTGGTTTGTCTGTTTCAGGGTCACATGGTTCAGGTTCAAACGCTTTCACACTTCAAACGGTGAGAAAACTGTGACCTGACATACCCTCAATACACAGCTGCAAACTTTAACACCTTTGCACATCCACATTTGCTTGGGAACTGAAGTTCTAATAGAGAAATTTATCTTTTCAGGGTGAAAAAATCTTAAAAATATATATATATGTCTATATATATAGATATATATATATATAGACAAAGTCACCATTACGAGATAATTATAACCTCCCATGGTGATACAAGACAGTCACGGTTACTGTAGCTAAGCTAGCTAATCCATTTTGTTTTAAGACGACTTTAGCTAGGGTTAGGTGTGTCAGTTCACTCACTTTAAATCTCAAGGAAGATTGCTAGTTCGGCCGAACACAAGACATTACTAGTTAATTAATACACATTCACGAGTGAGCACTGAAAGTCTAACACTATGCAAAAATTAAAAAAAAGATTAGCGTTATGCCAGTCAATAGAGAACAGACATTTAGCTTAAAACATGAACCAATGTTTCGTTTTTGAACGGCGGCTAGCTATGTTATTACAACTCTGCTTCAGGCCTGTACACGTATCCTATCGAAACATAGCTAACCCAATTAACATAATGGTCTGTCCAGCCGTGAGCCCAGCTCTATGCCCCTAGCTAGCTGGATAACAACAAATAAACAAACACAATTACAGAAACAAGATGAAGCTACGACAACACAGACGAGCATTTTTTATATTTTTTTAGCCTTAAATGGTTGAGCTAAAGGTACATCTGCATTAACGTTGGCTGGCTAACGACAGCGTCGAGAAGGATCTTAAGACCATAAAAAACGACTCCAAACATAGTTACCAATTGTCCAAATATAACTTACACCGTGTTCCTAACACATCAGTCATTATACCAGCCTGTTTGAGTTAGTTGTTAGATTTTAGTACTTACTTTATTCTGCTTGCAAAGTCTCTTCCTGGAAAACGTATTTCTGTGACCACCAGTCGCAGTATTGACTGTATTTAACTAACTTAAGTGGTGTGGGTGGGACTCATACTTTCCATCTGAGGGAACCCACCCATCAGTGACTGACAGCAGTCCTCTTGTCACGTGACAGCCAACAGTGACAACAAACAAAACACGTTTCACTATAAAATAAATACTGTGCATACTTTAACTTACATCCGTGACATTATGGAAAGTGTGACACACCGACCTCACCTTTCACGATTGACAGGTATGCTGTCATATCTACATCTAATCTAGTCTAAAAAGTCTAAAACTAAAAAGTTAAACCACCTATTATTGTGTTTACTGACAGACAGACACATTTTTTTAAATGAATTCTTAATACTGTGATGAGATTATAAAGTATATGTGATGAGTTATATATACACAAATCAGCATATATATTAATATATATTATATACTGTTTAATTTTATAGCAACATTCAAAGATACGGAAGTATAATTAGAATTGGGGTCTGTAAATTAAATCATTCTTTGACACTAGAATAAACTGTGTGTGTATAAACCTTCCTCAAAGTACTGTATGACTGGTTTATATGGGTGGGTGTGATGTGGCCATAGTGACCAACAGGGAGGTGGTATTTTTACATTCCTCCACGTCACTAATCCTACCTTTGCAAGAATTGATTATGTTACACAACTATACTGTGTGTGTGTGTGTGTGTGTGTGTGTGTGTGTGTGTGTGTAAGAAGGGCATTGGCCACAAGAGGGAGCTCTTTTTAAAGCTTTCTCCATATCATACTATGTCCTGCCAGACACCTTTAGGTTGCCTTGGTGGATTTGACTTGCTCAGTAGTCTTCCTACTGAGGGAGGCCTGGGTTGGTGTTGAGGTGCTTATTTTATTGATTGATTAACTGATTTGATCGGTTGATCCAGCTTTTTTTCTTGTTGCACACATCCAGATATACTTTTCAGATGGCTGAATGGCATTAATGAACATAATTTGGCAAGTATGCGTGTGACACTGTTGACTTAATGATCAGATGGGCCTGTACTACATTAACACAAGTCACAGGGACACTCCAAAGATTAGATTAGATCAGTTAAGTGCAACTCACCTCTGTCCGTGAATAAACAAAACACCTATCTACATACACACACACACACCACTTTTTTTTAAACACATATAGACATATAAAATATATATATATAATACCATGACAGAAGTTATAATATAAGTAAATAATAAATATAATTAGATGACTCAGACATAGTGTGGTTTAATTCAGTGTCTGATGTGGCTGAATATTTATAAACCTTCCTGTAAAGCAGGGCCGTTGGGTTGGAGAGAATAGGCAGATGAACCATTTGTCTTATCCAGTAGTTCATGAATATTCATACAAAGCGGACGCTGATTGGTCCGCGTCCTCTGTGACGCAGCGCCGTCCTCATTACATATTCAAAGAGCCTCTCTCTGCCCCGCTGCAATAAAGGCAGATAGCGGACCATGGGGAGCAGGGGAAAACTTTTTATACTGACATGTTAGCGCAATGACTTTTGAGTAACATCTAACTGGGACGAGGTTCCCGGCGTGAGGAGGACAGGGCCCCCTTTTACGGGAAGAAAAAAGGAGCACTTGCCATCTGCCGGGGTTACGGGAACGAAAAGCAAGACGGCAAAAGAGTTGAGACCAGTCCAAGAATCAGCGGTGGAAAATCCAGTTTAGCCATTTGAATTGAAAGATGAGCTTGTTGTCTGCCATAGACACGAGTGCCTCCGTGTACCAGCCTGCGCAACTTCTCAACTGGGTCTATCTCTCCTTACAAGACCCCCACCAGACCAGCGCTTTTGACGCGTTCAGACCCGAACCCAACTCTTCCCACCCGGATCTCAATTTCAGCAAGACTCCCGCAGCGGCGGACTTGAGCTCTTCCCTGAACTCCAACTATCTCAACAACTTCTTTCAGCTGCAGCGGAATGAGGTGAAAGATGGCATGCCGCATACATTTCTGGGGGTTATTACACACTTTGGTTTTATTTACTGGGATACAGTTAAGATACCGAGTTGGTTGATCTGTTGCATGTCTGCACCAAATGTTACAGCATAGTACAGCATGAGCTATTCTGGTAGGATAACCGCCATGGTCTTTCTAATGTGGACAATAAGTTCAAATAGTCTTATTAAATCAACAATGTTTGAATATAGACGAAAAACACTTATTCTAAACAATACATCAGAACATGTAATAGGTCAAGTATTTTCACACTTTATATAACACATATACAGGCTGCTATAAATATGACAATACTGTAAGCCTAGAGAAACACTGTAGGAATATCATGATTATACAGGAGGTCAGTACATTAACAGTAGTGTCACTATAAACTCACTTATGAGAGACTGCAGGAATGTTATTGGATTGTTTGGGGAAAGCTTATTTAAGCTTAATTAGTCAAGTAAAATCTTGCAAGGTGATTAAACAGTGAAATATCACAACAAGGTTTCTATGTATAAACAATTCAAATCCTTTTTCTTGTATAATGTCATTAAGTAATTCAGCATTCTGCATACTGATGAGTTATGGTTCAAATTAAAGGTGAAACTGTTAAGCAAAAATATGTTTTAATCAGACATGTCTCTGATCAGAGAGGTAAAGAGGGACAGATGGAAATAGATTCCTCTTAACGCCTCTTTCTGGAGAGAGCAGGCCACTGCAGCCCCTTGCTGAGGTCTGCTGTCTCTCTGACTTCTTCAAATAGACCTGGTTGTGCAAACAAAATCAATCCTTGTTTACATATTATCTATTTTTGTAGCTCAGTTTAATTTTAGGGACAAACATGCTGATAATGTATGCAGGGTGCAAACCTGATACTGCAGCACATACAGTGAAAAAAGGACCCCGCCACCACACCCGTCAACCTCATGCACATACAGCACGCACAGAAAAATAATCATACACTGTGGGCAAAATGGTAGTTTAAAGAACATACAGCAAGCTCTCCGGTGTGTTGATTACACTGCAAGTTGAGTTTCTTAGATCTATGTTACTATGACGCTATGTGTTGAAACTCTAGGAAGCATTAGTAGAGGAGGGACAGTGTGTTCACCATCTAGAGCCAGTGGCCATTATTATGGTGGTAACCATATAGGCCTTTTGAAGTCATTTAACATGAAACAGTCCTCTAAAATTGGGTGTGCACATTATACATTACATGCACTTGTGTAATGCCATTCAATCCGCATGAGTATAAAGTGTTTCAAACTGAGGGAACACATACAGTCTGGAAACGGTTTAAATGGGGGGGGGGGGGGATTTTGCAACTCACTATACCGGCTAAGCCAAGTCAAATAAACCACTGCAGAGATTTGATGATGAAATGAGTAATACAAAATATGGTTGTTTTTGCACCAGCAGATCACACAGTCTACTTAAAGTGAACTAGTGATAAATTCATGAATTTTTGGTTGATTTGAAACGCATATTGTGGCGCACGTCAAATCTTTGTGTAAATGACTTTTTCGCATTCATTATCTACCATTAGGCTAAGAGGACAAACAATTTGACTTTTGAACATTTATAACCACTCTGGAATAATCTAACCCTGTGGTAATTTCCTGTGGAATCTATTCTAGCTCAAATCAGTCACCTTTAAAGTTTCTACCAGACACTGCAGCCCTGGTTTAAATGTATCAGTGTGTGATTGGCCCCCTGCATTGTGACGCCTCATCCCTGGACCTGTGAAAACAGTCACAAATCTGCTATAGTTGTACACTTCACTTGCACTTGCACAGTGACCAGTTTAGTCCTTATTATGTTGGCCAATGCATACACATCCATCGGCACACACATAAACACACACTCTCCTGCTGAGTCACTCTCTCACTCTCTACCTCACTCACTCACTCACTCACTACCTCACTTTCACAGACACACAAAATAAACAAACAGTCTCACCCCACCATTAGCAGATGTGTGTGAAATCAGTTTCCTTTGGCCTGACAGTAGGAGGTTTAAGGCCAAACTGAAGAAATGTGAGGAACATCAACTGAGCAAAGTTTCCTGTTTTATATTTGTTAAAATAATTGAACAGTCTGCGCTACGACTTAAGTTTAGTGAATGCACAAACATGTACATTTCCACAAGGAGTGGTGATACGAAACACAGTAATACACAGAGCTAAAACACATGGCAGATGGAAACTTGAGAAACTACAGAGCCGTAATGCTTGATTTACGACAACTACATGTAATAAATGAACATGAGTCCTAAAGCTGGAGCTGGTTAGCAAGACAATCTCACAGCCTGCAGATAACGATTTGGCTTTCAGCTTCAGCCGTTCTGCCAAGTCTAAGGTTTCTGCGCTCTGCAACATTCAACATCAACATTAACACCCTTTCCCAGACATCAAGCCTGTGGCCCAAAAACAGACCATAACCTTCAGTGATGAGGAGGAGTTTACTTGTGGATTTCATCATGACGGTTTTACTTGACAGTGGTGTCTCAAACGTTTGTCATTAGTGCATTTAAACTATCAAGGTGGATGACTGGTTAGACTGTTTGTTTAGCACCTTGTCCACACGGGTTAATTAACTGACCATCTGAGAATAAAAAGGTCTGTGTTAAAATCAGCATCATTTCACCCAGAGGTCAATTCCTGTCTGTCGTTCCTGGATTGTATTTGAACAGAGGAAGGCATGAATGAGAAGGGAAATAAGGGACTGCAAGCCATGCTTTCCCTGTTATTAATATTCAGACGGCATCTTCCATGAATTCACTGGGCTCTGTGGCATGCAACACTGCGTTCTGTGGCTCCAAGCAGACTACAAACACTGACCATGGCTAGTTTAGCGCCAACAGTGCATGGTGACATTGCTGATGTTCCACAGGCTGGTGAGGGAACATGCCTCCCATCTTGTTTACAATGAGTCATCCTCTGTAAAGTCCTGTCTTTCTCTGTGGACATGCTCAGTACTTTTCCAGCTCATGAGCACAGCTGGGCCTCTCGCCAGATGTTCTGAATTTAATGAGAGAAATGATCTTGGAGGGATTTTTTTCTTCATTTTTTTTATTTTTTATTACGCAACAGAAAATAGGACAGAGGGATCTGGAAGAAAACTTGTGATTAATCTCAACATTTTTAACACTCCAAACCAGAAATGCAATATTTTATGTGATTATTGTATTTGGTAATGTTGTCCAGCACCCTCTATGTAAACAAGTAAGAATTTATAGACCTCTGAGTGTTGGGAATTGTATGTGAATTGAGTGTGAAGGTGCCCCAAGATTGTTGTTCATCCTATGAATTACATATGTGATACTTGACACATTTTAGACAGAGAATCTGAAGAACTGTATGTTAATTGAACCTTGTTTGATATGATTCTCATTTTGTAGGCCTTAAACAACAACGTGTATAAGAATGTGTCACCCTATGGCTCCCTGAACAACATAGTGGATGGACTCAACTCCCTGACGGACCATTTCTCAGACCTTTCCCTTTCTTCAGAGCCAAGAAAACCCAACAAGAGACCCCCACCCAACTACTTGTGCCACCTGTGTTTCAACAAGGGCCATTACATCAAAGACTGCCCTCAGGTGAGACTCGTAACACACATGTATTACATAACCTAGCCTTCAGATGACACACAGATCTTATCTTGGTGGGTGTAGATATATTTTAATTGTTTGATTACTAATCATATGTTTTGCATGTCTTTCCATTTGGTTTATACAAGCCAATGATGGCACTAAAGGCTGTGCTTGCTCCAGCCAGTGCCTGTCTCTCTGTCTTGCTCTCTCTCTCTCTCTCTCTCTCTCTGGCTCTGGTCTGACCTACTTGTTAAACAGGCTGGCCTCTGTCTTCTGTAGTCATGTGTGTGAGTGTGTGTATATGTGTGCTTGTGTGCATCTTAACTGCCACAGCATTACACTACAAGAAGCCATCAGTTATGGCCATGATAAATAAATTTCTTGGGCTAGTTCAAGGTGAAACTTTGTTTGTAATGGATGTAATGTTAGCCATGTTAGCACGCAAACACCACAACAGTAAAAAGTTTCTGACATGTAGTTAAATATATTATATTAATCTACAAAGTCACAGTTGCATTCCTCTGCCTTCCAGTTCCCCACTGATTCAGTCTGTTATGATGCAGGGTTTCTTTTGTGAGGCACCATGGTAAATCCACCTTGAGGTCTAGCTTGGAGGTTATGAGCACACCAATGTGTGACTAATGGGGTGTCAGCTGCTGTGTCATCTCCCAATATCTAAACTCATCTTGGTCTGCACCCTGAGAAATTCCTGCCAATTTACTTTAAATGAGGTCTGAGCAGAAATGCCTTTTTTAAGACTCTGGTCCGTAACCTGATGTGATACTAAAGGTTGACGCAGACATGCAGTCGCTCAATATCTACATGTCAATGAGAGAAAAAGCTCTTGTACAGATATTGTGTTCATGTCTAGTAACTATAGCATATTTGAAGTGATACTTTAGAGTTTGCTGGAGTTGTTGAGGAAGGAATGGACTATGAAATTGCTGTGGTGGATCTGTCATTGTGGTGTTATATAGAGGCTTGTAAACTCCATGGCTGGGACTGCGGCCTGGAAGTGATCTGATTTCATAAGAGGAACACAATGGCACTTTCCTTCAGAATTGTGGAATTTTTACACAGAGTTGTTTTTTTTTGTTGGACTCATGGTGCCTAATAATCTCTCTCTCTGTTTCTCTTATGCCTCTCCCCTATTTCTTCTCTCCCTTTTCCCTGGGTGAGGTGCAATAGCCTAACCCCAGCCCTATGTTTCTTTTGCATGGAATGGTAATGAGGAGCAGATGTGAGATTAAAATGCTTTGACTCGCTTTATGACATATGATGACTGGTCTCGGGAGGTCTGTAAAAGACCTGTGCACTGATGAAATATCTTCTGGACAGCTCCAAACTGCAATGTGTGGGAATTAGATCATCTATTGACAACTCCAATGGGGATTTTGTGTCAGAGTATATCATGCAACATGCTGCTTTTGCCCTTGTTTTTCCTTTATGTAATGCTGTAGTTGTTGATGTGAGCATTGCTCAAGTGATAATGATATTCAACATTGGAGCAGGTTTACATTAAGTAATACTAGTATGTTTATAACCATATTTCTAAAACCACATGCTGTGTACATTTAAAATGATCTTTACTGTGCCATTTTCAAATGAAATGGTTAAAATGTTGCTTTACTAAACACAACTCCTTAGACAGTAGAAGCTGTGAACTCAATCTTGCCATAGATGTAAGCATTCAGGGGTGGACCTCAAAATCACACTCAGTTGTCTTCTGGTTTATATTTCAGCTGTTCGTTAAACTGCCAACAGTAACTCAAAAAACAGAAAAGTTGCTGGACGGCCCCCACACCTACACAGTTCAACACCATCTCAGTTATTTAGGTGTCTCCTGGGCTTTTTTTTCTCCATAAATTTACCTTCCATTTGTGATACATCCCTTTTTACACTATTGCCCAGTAACCTGTCATTGCATGCCTAGCCAAGGATAGTTGAGCCTTACTTAACTAGCTCAAGACCCAAATAACAGATGTGACACACATCTTGCAATAGAAACATGTTTTTAATGGCAACTTACCTACTGTATTAGCCAAGACTTGTGTCATTTTCCAAACAATATTTTCTTGTACTGCTTCACAAGGTGCAGTGATCAGTTGTGTGCCAGTGGAGTTTCTGGTATCTGCCTACACTGGAATGCATTTGAGGATGAATGTGTCCCTACAAATTGGAGGAGCTTTGCCAATGAAAAAAGAGGCTCTTGCTTCACAGAGTGCTGATAAGTATGTCATCCTGGTCCAGCGTGGAGAATCGCGTTGTGATGACAATGTACAGTCTTCCTCTTCTACTACATCTCAACATGTTTTATTGTCTTGTTTTGTGCTGTGACTTTTGTCATAAAGTTTAGGTCCCTTGTCCATTGTTGTCCAAAACCTTTAAAAAACATTCGGATGAACATGGTTACTGTAGTTTTTTGTGGTTTTGTTATCAATCCCAAACAGCCTTGCTATGGTAAATACTCATCAGAGCACCAAATCTGTGTTAATCCGCAGCAGCAAATAGTCCCTAACAAATGCACTATTTCCATCTGATTAAGAATCAGAATCAGAATCAGAATCAGAATTGTTTATTGCCAATTCCGATGGCAACTTAAGTAACCTTTATGCCAAGTTGTTTCATGAAATCACTTACTTAAAAGTCCAGTGTGTAACATTTAGGAAGATCTATTGGCAGAAATGAAACATAATATTCACAGGTATGTTTTCATTAGTGTATAATAATCAGCTGAAAATATGAATAGGTTGTGATTTTGTTACCTTAATGAGCTGTACAGAGGGAACGGATCCTCTTCCGCAGAGGCCGCCACTTTGAATCACCATGTTTCTACCGTAGCCCAGAATGGACAAACCAAACACTGGCTCTAGAAAGGGCCTCTGAAGGTTCTCCTACATGCTTGGAAGGCTGAGTTGTCACACTGGTCCTTCAAAAAGAAAAAAAGAAACTATATATTTGAGACCTGCTTTTATGATTTACTTCAGTAGGAACCAATGGACTGTCTGCTACAGACTGGGTAGGCAAGTCAGAAAATATTAAGGGACGGACTTATGCATTTTTGGTTTTGGGCTTAGTGCAGCCTTCTGTGCACCTACTTTTCCTTTTTTCCTCTTCTTCTTCAGCCTCCATACATAATATATTACTTTGCACTAAGCTGTTGTCATTTAAGGCTTAAGGTTTGGCGTGAAAATAACTATCATTCTTAGGATTTGTTCAAATGTGTTATTTACTGTTGACTGAATCATTTAATTTTTCAACATTTGAATTGATGTATCATCAAATTAACTTGAGGTTATTATAAAAAAGATTATATAATATGCATTAAAATCACCTTACCTCTGCCAAAGATGACTTTTTTGCAGGCGAAGGAGATCAAAGATTTAGACAGTGGTGGATCCATCATCTTTCATTGCTCGGTTCAGAGAGAATAAGGGTTAGGCAATTAAATAGTTGAGGTTACCAAAGTGTTTATGCATTACTTGAAATTTAAGACCATTTTTTGTTATAACATGTTAATATTGGAAACACACAGAAGAGTTTGTGGCTGTGCAGAGAGAATCATTTTTCAGGGAACTCTTGGTAGTTGAGTGAAAGCCACAGGCCTGGCAGCAGCTGCCCAGTGCTCCCTGTCATGGGGACAGAGGTGTTATGTAAACTGGCTTTTATTCAGAAAATGAGGTCGCTCCCCCAGTTATGAGCAGAATGCCCCTCACTGCCACGCTTTGGCCCCTGTCCAAGATGTCTTCCACTTGCACTCATGATTTGGTTCTGTTCAGTGGACTAATCCTCTCAACAGTTGGCCCCCACTTTTGATTTGAGTGATCAAAATGATGCATTGAATGACATCTTCTTGCTATGTCTCCCTGTAGAAAGATTAACTCATGGAAAATGTCTTTGCCGGAATGCAGGTTTGTGGGTATGTGGGGGTGGCTGTTGCTGCTGTGTGTGTTTTATGTGTGTCTCTGAGCTACAGTGGACTCCTGAGTTACAGTGCCCCATTCCTGGTCGCAATGCATTTCCCTGTTTCAGTCCTTCAGAATTATAGTTTCCTTTTCTTCCCTTTCCTTTTTTTTTTATTCTTCTGAGAAATTTCTGATATTTTGCAACTGCTAGAATACTTATGTTTATATTAAATGTTTAAAAGCCAAAAATGACTGACATCACATTCATCACTTCTGCTTTCACCCTTTTGTCTATTTCTGTTGAAGTGCAACAGTCACAGTTTAAGTAAAAATGTTCTTCATAGTAAGAAGCTGATTGAGATAATACGTTTTAGGGCCTTTTAAGGATTTTTAACACATTTTGGGAAATATGCTTATTTGCTCTCTTGCTAGGGGTTGAGAAGATATATTTGATTTTTGTTTTTTTTACAGATTAAACAAACAAGATATCACATGTTAATTAGCGGGCTTTGTAGGACAAAGCCAGGCTAGCTGTTTCCCCTTGTTTCCAGTCTTTGTGCTAAGCTAAACTAACCTGCTTCTGCCTGCAGCTGCATATTTAAGGCAGAGATAAGAGTGCTATCAGTCCTCTCATCTACTCCTTATCAAGAAAGCTATGAAGCATATTTCCCAAAATGTTGAACTTTAGCTAAAAGGGCCACTGTAGCTGCTGGGTCTTCATCATTTTCATTGTTTGTATTTCATAAATGAAGATGAAGAAAATGGTGATGGTGTACAGATTGATATTTTTTCACCAGTGCCAATGACTATACCAGAATGGTCTGTATGTATTTATCTGTAAATAAAAAGCAAGGCCGATAGAGAAGAAGCATCACAGTTACTGTGGTGATCAGACACACATGGAGCTCATTGATCCACATACAGAGACTTCTTTATCACACCAGGATAATGTGGCTTTTGTTCAAATAGCTATGGTGTCAGTTGAATGTGTGTGTGTGTGTGTGTGTGTGTGTGTGTGTGTGTGTGTGTATATATATAGCATCAAAACATTACTTTTTCTTTTATCTCTGTAGAGATATCTGACTTGTTTACAGTGACTTG